ATCCAGCAGGGTGGTACGAGTGGGATGGCAATTTCGCGCTGAACACGCTATTTTATGCCGAGTATCAGAATACTGGTGCGGGTTCTGGAACATCAAACAGGGTGACTTGGAGGGGATTTAGAGTGCTCACAAGCACGACCGAGGCCCAACCTTTTACTGCTGGCAGATTTATCTCAGGTGGAAGTTGGCTGGAGGCCACTGGGTTTCCATTTTCTCTTGGACTTTAATTTTGATCTTGCGCTGGGAATATTGCTGTATATCATGAATAAATTGGTTGTATTTAATGATCTATATCGAACAAATGACCAATAATAAAATCCAAGTTGGATTTTCATTTATTTGATTCTCTTTTGTGATTCAATACAATTCAATGGATCACAAACATGACTCTGCTCTATCCATAGAATTAATCAGCACCTGAGATTTAATTATTTCATCTAACAGTAGAATTATCGCAACACAGAATTTGGAATGAAAATTATTTTGATTGAATGAGTAAACTGTAATAACAATGTGAAATGAAAAGAACAATTAAGGCAGGTTTTGAGAGTTGCCCCTCTCCTAATGATCCAGACGTTTTACTTAAAAAAAAAAAAAGGTTGAACCCCAACCTTGAGAGCCCCCACCGTTCCACCCCTAGAGTTTTGTGAGGGAGGTAAATCATAGAATGTGCTCCAACAGGTTAGGGAACAAGAACTGCATGTACACTGTGCCTACAAGGAGTCCAATTTCATGTCTCAGGAATCGAATCCCCACACTGCGGCTGCCAGCAAGGAGTGAAATAACCTCACTTCTGTCCTTTGCACCACTAGGCTATGTCTCGGGGGGCTTCAGACGTTTTACTTCTTTATTTTTTGAATGGTTTATAGACTCTACTATCCACTGTTTATTGACTCTACACTAACAACCATGGCAACATCCTAACTACCACTTTGCTCATCAGATCTAACAACTAATATTCCCTCCAATTCCCATTACATTCCTTTTTTGTGATGCCTTTGGTAAGTGAACCAGCTTATCAAAACACTACTAAAAAATGCAGCATAGGCGATGAAAAACTCCATCGCTGATGCTTGGTAACAGTAATTACCAATAGAAATTTTCAGTCGGTAAATTTCTTAGGTAAAAGCTTGGTTGGTAATATACGAACGAACTAGTTAAAGCTTAATATGATACTTATCGACATATTAGAAACGGACTTAAATGTTGGTAACTACCAACTGATCAATTCAACAACATTTTCAGTAACGATTTGGTCTGTAGCAATTACCGACGATATGAAATAAATTTTTTTAGCTTTCGTTTTTGTTATGTTTTGTGGATTTTTGAAATACATTTTTTTTTTTAAATATTACTTACGGAATAAATTAAATGTTTACCAACCGAACTTTTTTTTTTCCTCTTAATAGTACACAGATTAATCATACCTAGAAAAATCCCTCAGAAAGTTTTGGTTTTTATTATATTTTTACCATCGGATTATCAACCGAATTTTACTGACCGAAGTATTCCGTCAATAAATCTGTATTTCTTGATTTAAAAATAAATAAATGGAGTAATAAGTTGGCAATCCTTCGATAATCCGTGGAAATTGTTCGTCGGTCGCTATTGGCGCACTTTCTATAGTGAAATGCCAAGATCCTAGTTGCAATTCTGCATATTTGAAGAGTTTAATCACTGAACTGTTGTTTCTATAAATTGTAATTGTAATCAGTTTCTAGAAAATGAAGCTGTTTTGAGAATATTTTCAATTACGACTGACAATTATGAAATACGAAATTATTTAAAAAAAAAAAAATTACCCACCCCCCTATAATGTGTCTGACCAGTATAAGCCCTATGTTCGAACATGCTAGTTGTACGAACACAGGGCCTATACAGCTAGCATGTTCCATATATATATATATATATATATGCTAATGAGACTTGCATAATATCATATCAGATCTTGTTGCTCTCAAGTACATGGTGTAAAATTAGTGGAATGTTGTCAAACTTCTTGTTAAAATTTGAGGTTCCATCTTAAAAAGTTAACCTTGTTAAGATGAGTAGTCTAATATCTTTTTAAATTGATCAATATTTCGGTATTTAACCAATGTGAGATTTTTATCACTTAACATGCTCTCACAAGATGGTTGCTTGTTTGAGCAGACCAATTTTGAAATTCGTATGCTCATTTTTAGAGTCTTAATCGGATTGAGTTGTTCGTTGGAGCTTAATGAGCTCTAATATCATGTTAAGATTTGGAGTTCCATCTTAAAAGATCAACATTGTTAAGATGAGTAGTCCAAGATCTTTTTAAATTGATCAATATTTAGGTATTTAACCAATATGAGATTTTTATCCCTTAACACTTCTTTCCTTACGATCTTTAACTTGCATCAATCCGCACTCGGTTGTTGAACTTAATTACATAGTTTCCATTCATCATCATTTGAAAGTAAGAGACTCTGGGAATTGGGAAAATCCAAAAGAATTCTTGCCTGTGAGATTCTTGCACCATTGCAACCGGCAGCTAATGGTCTGCTTCGTCAGCAGTATACTATTGGGCTCAGGAGAGAAGATGGATCAGAGGCAAGGTCATTTTGACGTCGGATGGACAAAGAAGTTGGCTTTGTGTTGGATCTGTAGCCCAAAAATTTATGAGGATAAGGCTCTTGTTATGACATTTATGATGCCATGGGATCTTTTACACTTCATTCTCTTACTTCTTATTAAAATCTCACGTGTTAATTAAGTCCTATCCAGTTGAATATTGTGTAATTTGTAATTGTAACAATTATTATATCCTATTTAAAGTGCAAAATATGAGTTCACATATTATCACTCATCACCTACACCAGAAAATTTAATAATTGTCAAGTTGAACCACAAGCCTTAACTTCAAATCTCAACCATTGACCAGCATTAGTGGTACTTTTAGGACACCAAATCATTGATAATCCAGAAGAATTTAGGCCAAGATGGCCACAAGAGGAGAGGATTATAGTTGAAGCACATGCGATCATGCCTAATTACATGCAAAGCCTAACACATGTAGAAGTTGTTCAATTCACCAAATAATATTGTAGGAATTGACATGACCTGATGCTTACATAACACACAAGACTGTAACGGAAGCCAAAAGTTTAAGTATCTAAATCTCTTAACATCTTCGTAAATCTTAAGTAATATTATCTACACAACCGTCAAAATAGCCCTAGCTACTTACTATACCCATGGTGAATGATTCACTTGTTAGGTTCGGAGTCACACAACGAAATGATATTTTTCTAAACATGCATATCTTATATCACATTCTTAAATTATACATGCATATTTGAAACTATAGCTTATTACAGTTTTGCGAATAGGAGTCACTGTCGCGCAACATACGGTTTATACATATCGTGTCATAATCATAATTTTTGCACAAAATAACCGAAAATATTGTGATCAATGCCTATAATTGGACAACTTGCTTAATTCTGTGCTTCACAAATAAATATAAAAATGATGGATAAAATGTTGACAATTATTCTTAAAAAAATGTGGACAAGGAAACAGTTGTTTCGAAAAAATCACATTGGGATTTGTGGCCAATTTTTCCATCTATTCTGGATAAACACACCAAGGAGGTCAGAGACTTTTATGTATGCGTATCAAAGTCACGAAAATTCAATTGTGTAAGTGACTCGTATAACTTTATTATATGTCTAAAATCTAAATTGAGACGGCGGTCACATCTCATATTTTTCAAGGATATATTCTTACTTTTTTTTTTCTGGATAGTACGACTTTATACTCATGTCTCACTCAACCCAATTGCGCCCATCTATTTAACACCTCTTATACGAAAGTCGTGATGCTCAAAAGGTTAATGAAGGGATCCAGTACCAAGATCTTTATTTGATTTATCATTTGTCAAATTCATAATGAAAAGATCGAAAGGGATTTGTGGGCTCATACTAAACATGTGCAGTTTTAATCATTTAGTGTGGAATGTGATTAACAATTCCTTGCGTGCCAAATTATGCATGGAATTTGGAAAGCTACATCTCTGCCCATACCACTTTTCATTCATGCAATAAATAACTACTATTTAAGCGAAAAAGAAGTTAATAATTTACCAATTTAAAGTATGTTTTTTAGTTATTCTCAAGTTCTGTATTATTACCCCCCCCCCCCCAAAAAAAAAAAAAAAAAAAAAAGGTTCCCTTCAAAAGAGATGAAAAACAGTTTAAAATAGAAAAAGAAAAAGTTCGGCGAAGCTGACAACGAGCTGTATTTTCTTAATGAATTAAGCATAGAAACCAAGCTGTTAAACGCGTTTATTGGGACCTCTTCTCCAAAGCAATACAGTTTAGGATTTAATACTCCTTTACTTTAGAAAAAGGTTTCTTGATGTTACCATGTTGCATATTGGAATGTGATTCTTTGTCACCTTCTTTGTCTAATTTAAATGAACAATGTTATTTGTGTATAATGAATTTATATACAAATGAGGTGTCAAAAATGGAACGTGAAAGTTTATTTATTTATTTATTTTTTAAATAAATTCTAGTTCAATCATATCTAACCACATAATATGTATGTAAACCATTATATACATTTAACACAATCAAATTTAAATTAATTGGTCCGTCATGAGTCTTTTTAATTTTTTATAAATAAAAAATGCAATATCTTAGGACTAGCAGGTGGATATGATTTAACATAAGTATGCAATACAATGGACAAAATTTTAATTGATCTGATAATGATCCGCTTTATGTTAACCTAAAATGTAATACCTCAAATTTTTACAAATATTGAAATGTTAAAAAAAAAAAAAACATTTTTCTTTATATTAAAAGTGGAATGATAAATTAAAATTCTTTAATAAAAAAATAACTGAAAGATTCATAATTTAAATTAAATCATGAAAATTGTATTTTGAAAAAAATGATTAAATAACTAATTAAAAAACATGTATTTGAACGAATTAAACTAACTAATAAATTTAAAAATAGAAAATTAATGTATATTTTTCCTTTTTCTTCGATCCACATCATCACCATCCTACCACAAATCCAATCGATCTGAACCAACTTAAAAAATTATATTAAATCTAAATATCTAAAAATTTCAATAAGATACATACAGTTTTTATACACAATTATTTAAAATTAAAATAGACACTTTATACCACTATTCTTTTAAGGAGTATATCAGTGACTAAGTTACATACTCGTTTTAGGTTATCTTAAATTCTCAAAAGATTTTATATCTCTTAATATAGAACTCGAAAGTCTACTGATAATTCATATATATTTAATTGAATACAAAAAAGTATAAGTAAACAACTATTTGCACACAAGTATCTTACATTGATTTTGAAAAGTTAAAAAGAAATAAAATATTGCACGTAAAAGATCTCCTATTATTTTTTCTATACTTTTTCCTCTCCTTCTCCTTGTCTACCTTGGCTCAAAATAAAATGAAAATTAAAACTATTTTTTCACTTTAGTTCCTCAACTTTCAAAATATAAAAATATAAATGTTCCGGAAAATTACATAATATTTATCACTTAATGTATAATTAAAAAATATAGAGTAATTCTGTAACACCCCGAATTTTTTTACTATTTTTCATATGGACTTAAACTTAATATCGATCATTTAGCAAATAAAATAGTCCATGTCTAGATTTGTCATCACACTAAAATTTCGAAGGTTGAAGTGGTAAACTCGACCTGTTTATTTGCAAAAATAATTTATTTCCTTATGTGCACTTTTAGAATTTATCAAAAACTATTTGGATCGAATATTTATGTATTTTAGAAATTCATAAAATATATCAATACTATACTTATTATGTAGCTCGTATTAAATAATATAAATTGAGCTTATGAAAAAATGATTTTGAACTACTGATATCTGAGTTATCTTGATATGAAGAAAAATAATCCAAATTCTATATTTTATTAATATAAATTTAATAAAATAATTTTTTTTAAAAAAAAAAAAAAGAAGAAAAACTTTCATTTCAATTCATTTCGGTTACTGGGAATATGAAAGGGATATTATAATTTAAGCATGATTAATTCATTAAATTTTGATCATATTTAATTAACCCATAAAACTCCTAATTAACATCAAAGACGTTTGAAATTTAAGGATAAAATCGTAGAGTCATCGATCTACTTGGAGTTGTGTCAAAATATATATTGGTTAGAATTTTTCTTTTAAAATATAAAACTTCGTTTCTTGCAAGGTTGATAGACGTACACTCCATTAGAAATAATATTCTTTTATTATTATTATTATTATCCAACAATCATATTTTTCGATTCATTTGGTATCAAATCAAGGTAAGAAATGTGCAAGTGGTTAATTCTTATTTTCTTGATATTTTTATAGATTTTGGCATGAAATATGTTAAGGCCTTTGGGTCGATTTTTATTTTAAATCCTACGTGATGGACCATTTGGTTGAGTATGTAAATCCTACGGGATATAGAAATTCTTATGAAATTCCTTGAGCTATTGGATGTCACGATCAGTTTGCTCTAAATCTAAAAAATGTTGGTATACCATGTCATCTTCTATTTATATCACGTTAATAAGAATATGCTCGTTTTTCTTACTGGGTATTTGTTTTTTAAAAGCACCCACTGTTACAAAATTTTCATATTAGAACAGGTAGTGTGGACGCATGGTGGATTGATTGAGTGATGTTTATGGGATTGCCAAGTAAATTTTTTAGAAAAAATAATTGTCAAACTTTTATTTGAAGAACATTTTCATCTGAATTTTGTGCACATTGTTTAATAGTTATTTTTATGAATTTTCAACGCTTAATGAAAGTGGTATTTCCGCTTAAATTAGACAAAGAAAATGTTAGTAACACCTCGAGCCTATTTTATAAAAGAATAAAATAATGAAGATATATTAATATAAACATACAATAAATTTCAATATTTTCAAATGATGAAAATAGCTTAAAATTTTACAAAATATGTCAAAATTAAATTTAACTATTGTGTAATTGAATCATTTCTTGTGAAATTGACAGCATGGACTCGTTTGTCCACTTTATTACTTTTACACGATTTGTGCAATTACGCTACATATTTTTTAAAGAACAATAAGTCGTTGTCATTTTTATAAGTTTTGTAGTCAAAATTCGTTCATCTCAAAATTTAGTGAGCAATCAAATATCTTTTTCAAAGTTTGGTAAACAATAAAAAAAATATTTTTCAAAGTTTAGTGGTAACTAGAGACATTTTTCAAAGTTTGAAGAGCAATCGAAGATGTGACAATTTGTTAATTGTGTGATGAGGTAACATGCATATATTCCGTTATCCATGTTACTAATTCCGTTAAAGAGTTGGAACAGATGTTAAAGTAGTGAGTAACGTCCAACGTTTTGATAATTTTAATGGTTAAAACTCGATATCTTAAACTTCAAGGAGCAATTAAAAACATAGACATAAGTTCA